CGTAATAATTGTTATATTATACAACAGATGATAATGTCAGTTTGTACAACTATTAAAATTTAAAATGTCAGTTTTTACTATTCTTATATGAATTAAGGTAAAATAACATTGAGGTCTAAAGAGTCAAATTTTTTAACTAGACTATGAGTGCGAAAAGGACAAAGATTAGTATAATATTGCAGAATAAAGACTTTTCTCAATTTTTAAAATTTTTGGTTGATTCCTTGTGGAATATCTTTATTTCATCATAAAAAAGAGAAATTCTGTGGGGGAAGACAAAAAAGTTAAGTACCGGAAGTCAGGGATGGGGAAATATAAATTAGTTACAAAATTTGATGCTTTACATATGATTTCATCCTTTAAGCCCTGAGCAGAATAGAAACGTAACCGGAATCGTAATCGCAAACGCAACCGAAAGAATGAGTTAGAGAAGGATAGACATATTGTTTGTCCCTCTCCAACTCATTATTCCGGTTACTTTTCTATTCTGCTCAGGGCTTTAGGTACCGTCCCATGACAGCGTGAAAACGTAGAGTGGAAAACTGAAAGTTACTTGAATTCAGTAACTTTTGGTCAGAGGCACCGATTGACACTCTACATGTTGAATATTATCACTGACTTATGGGAACAGTGACGTGACTTACAATTTTTATTCAAAATCAAACAATGCAGCTTTCTTTGACTGAAATATTAGTTTTTACAAATTCGACGCATTTAAGGTAAAATTTTATACATGGTGTGAAGCTAATTAATGCCGGCAATGTTATTTTTTGCGTGATAAAGTATAAGTGGGAAGTGAATAGTTTTTAGGTTAGGTGAAACGAGATACGTTACTGTATAATACGAGATATTATTCTAATAAATTAAATAATATTTTTTTTAAATCCAATTTTTAAAAATATTTTTCTTTTTTTTATTTTTCTTTTTTTTTATTTTTAGAATAAATAAATGTATAGGAACTTGATTTAGTATCATATACAGACAAAAAATGTAAACTCGAATCTATGCACTTTCTATTGCAACACCCAAAAACTGATGTCGCTACAAGATGGTGTATCACAATTTAAGATTATTTGACTGTTAGGTCTGTAATGTTAATTTTTCCGTAACTTTTCTCGTAAAATACTGAGTGGATTGAATTGAAATTTTATGGAGGAGTTCCAAATATGATAAAGAATGGTTGTCGAGTGCGAAAATATTGATATATTGTTAAATAATTATATTATAAAACACTTGAAAATAGTTAGAAAATGTGGGGTTAGGAGTGTTGTATTTTCTAACAATTTTGCCTTTTATCATATTTATTTAACAATATATCAACATTTTTGCACTTTAAAACCATTCTTTATTATATTTTAAATTCCTCCACAAAATTTCAGCTCAATCCATTCAGTATTTTTCGAGGAAAGTTACGGACAAATTAATACATTACAGCTAGACCTATAACAGTCACATGACCTTAACCGTTCTCAAATGTTTTTGATTTTTGTCGTTTTCACGGGAACAGGAATAAGTTACTGAAATAGAAAAAAATGTTTTAAAACGAATAAAATGTTGATGTAATAACCCTACTGTTAATTCCCATATGAGAATAAACTGTTAATATAAATCAAAAAATTTTTTTTGTTTCTTAATAACAAATGTATAGAGCTCAAAAATTAATATTTGAGCTCTTCTAAAATTAATTTTTTTTAAAGAGATATCACAAAAAAATGAAGAGGTTAAAAAATTACTTTGGAGTGCTAAATTCAGTTATAGATATCTATACTCCACAATAATTAATGAATATTAATGAAATTTTGTACAAACTTACAGTTCATCAAGTACTTTAAGCAGAATAAAGAGAAAAATTAATGTAACTTAACACTTTTGAATAAACTCAAGTGCGCCAAGCAACCCCTGCGCCAAACAGCCCCGGTCTCCCCTACTACATATTCCCATGTGGGATCCTATATGAGATCTCATATAGAATTCTATATGGACACTCATGAGATTTGTCTCATGAGTTTCCATATAGGATTTTCGTAAGATTTCATGTAGTATCTCATATGAGAAACCATAAGTGATCTTATACGGGATCTCATACGGGAATTTACAATAGGGAAGTAATTAATAAATCCTTTAATTGTGAAATAAAGATTATATCGAAAATTATAAGGGAACAAAGAATGTAAATTTTAAAAAATTATTCAAAATTTTAATGTTTTTTGAGGTTATATTAACTAACAGTTTTAAACGAATTTACTAAATATAAATTTATCGAGAAACTTGAATTCCTCATTTACACACTGAAATGCAATGTGAAAATGATGGAAAGTCAATTAAATAAATTTAATAATTGCACGCTTTTATTACTGAAATAAATGACTTTCGTATTGTATATACATATATATATATACAATATGTAGAAAAGATGGTTGGTGAAGAAGCAGAGTGGCGCCAGTATTCTTTCACGTGCCATTTTAATTAGTTTCAACTAATATACATGTACTAAATTGTTCTTAACACGTCTAAAATGTGTAATTAATCTTCACAATGCAGAGAATGAGAAATGAAATTAATGTTCCTTCCATAATCACAATGACGGTACGAAACGGAAGGAACTTGACTGCACTTGATTAACATCTGGAGTAATTATAAACGTATTTCATTCGCTGTTGATCATTTAGATCATAAAATTAATGTATTAGTTCATTAACTCATATTCCTCGCTTTCGTAAATCGTATAGAGAAAATATGGAACATCAATGTCTTTTTTTTAAGTGAGAAAGATATTAATTATTATTTGTTATAGTCGAGGAGTACAAGAATTTAATTTAAAGAAATATATTATATGCGAAGAAGAACAAAATGTAATGCGTGTAATTTAAACATTTTCATTAATATTTCTTTTTTTCTGATCTTTTTTACATTTTTTTTATTAATTTTATAATACACAAAAATTCATTAGTTATTGACAAATTTTTTTGTTCAGCGAACAGAAATATTTTGTTCAATATGGATGGAAATTATAAATCTCTTTCGTATTCTTTATTTGTAGTTCTCTTTTTTTTTGCTTCATTTTGGAATCAGTTTCCCCAATTCATACGTGCAATGCTTCCAGCAACGTCATCAAAGCTGTTGAAGTAGGAAGAACGAGAGAGGTAGGCCAGCAGGAAGAACGTGTCGGCTTTGTCAAAGGCTTTGGTGTGTAGAAGGAGTCCGAATCAGAGATGAGAGATCAGATACAGAGGTATACCTTCTCAGATTACTGCATGCGCGAGCCCCCGCTGGGACCAAGCACCTTAAAACATCATTCTCACGTGCTGCGCGACATAATAAATGCACATAAGATTTGCATTTCAGAAATTTAGACTTCTCTCATAAAACTGAAACTTATCGGTGAAGAAAAAGAATTTCTGGAATTTTAAAGTCTCTATTTACATCATTTAATAAGATGAAAAATAGTTGACATTTTGGCTGTGCTTTAATTATTCCAAATATATTAACAGTTACCCTCAACCCATAGTACAACAGTTCTACCATAGATTATTGCACATCTGATGCACCAAAATTTTTTCCATGATAATTGAAAAATTAAGATTACAACACTGCAATGTTAAATTAAATAAACTTTACCGCCGGTGGTATGCAATATTCTTTACGAGAGAATTGTTATAGTCGTCTATTATTATTGATAAGAAAATTTAGAAATTGGAACTTAATCGTACATCTGCGAGAGAAATTGGCTTTGGAAGCAGAACCGATCTCTGATGTCGACATGATCTATGGCACGTCGATATTAGCATCCGAGAACCATCGATCACAGCGTCCATGAGAGAAAGAGAGAATCGAGTGGTTATATAGATTTAAAATGAAACGCAGAGACGTGATCTCCCTTTATTATCAGAGAGAGATCAATAAGGCTCCTCTCTATCTCTCCTCGGAAGGCTTTTGGAGTTTGCATGCCCGACCTTAATAAGCGGTTTGCCTCAGAACAATCCGATTAATTCGAGAGTGCCTCGAACTCGATTCGGTTCAGACTCTCTTCTTGCTATGTCTGAACCTGCGCTGATAAAGTTGGCTTGCCTTAGCTTAGGCATCAAAGTATCGTGTGTAATCATAGTGTTTCCTTGCATTGCTCGAACGTGACTTGTGACCGTGTGCGCTGTACCAGGAGTCCATTTCCCGCGAGACCTACAACCTTCATTCCTTGAAATTAATTATTTACTCTAAAGATACGCGACTGGTATATATATATATATATGGTAGGCATTCCATCGTCTTCAAAAGATTCAATGTTCCTTATTTTCCAATCATTATACTTGTCTTTAATCATCATTATCATCAATGCAGCTAATAAATTATCTTTGACTTTCTTTGTTTTCTCTTATTTTTTTTTTATTTTTAATATGCATTTCCAAAAAAATTATTAAGAATAGAACATTGAATACATATTGTATAGGGTAATTAATTAATTTTTCTCTTTCAGGATCGAGGTGAAGCGATTTTGTTGCGAGAATACCATGAAGAAGAAACAGTCAAAGATTCTGTAGAGATGAATTAAAAAAGGAATTGTAATATAATCGATCACGTATTTTGAATATTTAAAGATATTCTTCCCTTATTAATTACAGATAAAGATTCTGTAGAGATGAATTAAAAAAGGAATTGTAATATAATCGATCACGTATTTGAATATTTAAAGATATTCTTCCCTTATTGTTTATCAACGACATTTCTTGAATCTTTAAGTTTTGCTATTTTTTCTGTATGCTGATAATGTTAAAAATTTTCAAGGTCATAGTAAATGATGAAGATTATAAAGATATGCAATCTGATTTATCTCGTTTACTAATAAATAAATTATTAATTATAAGAGCTTTTTAAAAATTATTGATAATTATATTAACTGATGGCAATTTTTTATAGGAATGTAATAAAAAATTTCGATCAAAATTTACGTAATATCAGAAAAATTCTTTTATTTTATTAAATTAATACAGTATTCTTTGAGAAGATCAGTTGCTATATTACAATTCATAATATACATACAATATATATAAATTTTAATGTAGATTGAAATTATTTTATAATTTTGATAACAATTTTCGGTTTATTATTTATATGGAAAATTTTCCCATTGTTACGCTTTTTTTCTCTATTTTTATGATTGCAAATTACAGTTTCACAGCTGCAAACAAGCAAACTCCATCATGTTTGCAGTGATTGAGTGCTGAAAACACATTATATTATGTATTTAGAAAAGTTTTTTCATTATCTTTAATATTATTATTTAATTTTTCTATCACAATGTAATGTTCAAAAAAATGTCTTCTCATTTAAAATGATTTTTTTCGAATGTAGATTTAATGTCAGTAGTGACAATTCGTCATTATAATTTAGTCAAGCGGAAAATTAGGTTTAATGATTTTTAGGAAATATTCATACGTTATGTAATTTACCAATTGTTAAAGAAATTCATTACTATTAAAAATACCTTGTTTATTGTGCTCCTATTGGTGATTCTAATTAGAAGATTTTCTTTTGTGGTTTTGAGCAGCATACTTCCTGTTTTGGTGGTTCTGGACAACGTACTTCCTGCTTTGGAGGTTCTGGACAACGTACTTCCTGCTTTGGTGGTTCTGGACAACGTACTTCCTGCTTTGGTGGTTCTGGACAACGTACTTCCTGCTTTGGTGGTTCTGGACAACGTACTTCCTGTTTTGGTGGTTCTGGACAACGTACTTCCTGCTTTGGTGGTTCTGGACAGCGTACTTCTTGTTTTGGTGGTTCAGGACAGCAGACTTGTTGTTTAGGAGGTTCTGGACAACGTACTTCCTGCTTTGGTGGTTCTGGACAACGTACTTCTTGTTTTGGTGGTTCTGGACAGCGTACTTCTTGTTTTGGTGGTTCAGGACAGCAGACTTGTTGTTTAGGAGGTTCTGGACAACGTACTTCCTGCTTTGGTGGTTCTGGACAGCGTACTTCCTGCTTTGGTGGTTCTGGACAGCGTACTTCTTGTTTTGGTGGTTCAGGACAGCAGACTTGTTGTTTAGGAGGTTCTGGACAACGTACTTCCTGCTTTGGTGGTTCTGGACAACGTACTTCTTGTTTTGGTGGTTCTGGGCAAGGAGCTGGTTTAGGGCAGAGAACTTGCTTTTTTGGTGGTGGGCAAGGAATCACAACGGTTTGTTGACTCATTTTTGATGATTCAAAGATTTTCACTTTTCTATTAAACAATTAATATGGAAAAAAAGGAATTAATTTCAGTTGTTAGCTGATATTTGCTGGCAGTTACAGGCAAATTTAGTTTAAAAAAATATTTTTTAACTGTATATATCAATCAGCAAACTAAAATTATTAATACTTCAAAATCAAAAAATTGAATATACGAAATATGATTAAAGTTTAGGATGAAAAATTAAGTATTTAAATGAAAAATGTTAATACTTACGAAGATTCTAAAGATGTAGAGTATCTTTGAAGGTATTTCTTCTCTGTATATCGTATTGAACTTAACAACCGTTTATATATATATTCATAAAACGAGCTTCACACCTTAAGCGTTAATGATTTTTTAATGAGCTTATTAAGACATTTACCAAAGGCAATTTCGTCATTTTAATTAACTTTGATATCTATTTTTTTCCAAAGAGAACAATAAGTATTTTGTCATTCAATTAATAGTTTCACTTAATATTTAATCGGTGTTGTTAACATTACCTATACACAATTATCACTTTGATTATTACTGTAATCATTGTTAATTAAAAAAATATTTCTTTAAACTTGTTTTAATAACCACGTAGTTAAAGAAATAATTAATAGAACCATTATCGAAAAATAATTTACTAAATTATTTTTATTCTACTATATTTATTAATAAATGTAATTTGATATTATTTTTCCTTAAAAATTATTACAATGCATAGTATTTCAAATGAAAATTTATTTTTCATTTGAATATAATTTTTGATTGAAAAAAGTTTAAAAAAATTTTATTAAGTAAAAAATGTACACACCGTTAAGTAAAACTTTTTTCTTCCAGAAATAAAATTCTTCAGCATCTTGTATTTTTTTTCAAATATTTTTCTTCATTTTCATTTGTCCAAGTTTTCCTCCACAGGCCTCAGGATATCACCTTAAAAAAGGTCTATTATTAATATTCATAATCGCAATAAAAATAAAATTCTTTTAATTATGCAAAAATTAGAAATTTTAAACAAACAAATTGAATAAAGAAAAATAATAGAAAATTAAAAACATGGAACTAAAGGATAATGTTTTAATTAAGAATATTTATTCGGACAAATGGAAATTCTGTAAAATGTAAATTCAAATAAATAAAAATTTAGCTAGAAATCTCAGAATTCTTTTAAATAATAATTTCAAAGAAATAAAAATTTAGCTAAAAGTAAATTCTAGGAAATGAAATTTTTACAAATTATAGAGCACATTCGATGCGTCCCTTATACTTTAGTTGAAACAACATTATCTCGTTAAATTATATTTAGATTTTTTTTTAATAAATATAAATAAAATTTGAATTGCAAAAGAATGTAAATAAAAAAAGTTATTTTAAATTTCTATATTATATCCCCCTCGCAATGTGGAACGTGTCCATCAGTAAAAATTGAGGATCTGGATTTTCAACAACTCATAGTCATGCCTTTGAATGGAGAACGGCTTTTTACGATGTCAATAAAAACAAAGCAAAAAAAGAAGAGAAAAAAAGAAAAGAAGAAGAAGAAGAAGACAAAAAGCATATAGACTGCGTTCTGTTGACATAGAGTCGATCATAAAAATATATCTCGATGATAAATCCGGGAAATCAATACTCAATATATATATATATATATATATATATATGGGAACATCATTCGCAAGACTGCAGTGAGATGCATGATTTCATGGAACTGGCTCCTTCATACAACAACGTTGTGCTTGCCGCGAGTTGCGTGTGTGGGAAAAGTTGCCGGATGCATTATGTATTTATTGCTTTGCTTATTTAGTTGAGAATTACTTTACCCCAACGTAATGACTTTCAGTAGGTAATGCTATATCTTAGGAATTTCAAACACCTGATTTATTGTCAATATAATTTTATTTATATAAATTAAATATTTTGTCATCCACAAAAGGCTTCTTTAGATTATTTTTGCATTCATTGTAAAATATTTTTTAACTAAAAAGAAGAAATTTTTTTTCTAATTTATCTATACAAACAATCATACAATATAAAATATTTTTTTATTTTTAAGAGTTTTCCTCTTATGTTGCTTTAGTTTTAAATAAATATTAATTTTAATTTTATTATATTATATTAATACCTTATTCATATTGTTACATTTAAATATTAATTATTATTTATTTCAAAAAATAATTAATTTCATAAGTTTTCAAATTTAGCGCTTTTATTAAAGTTGGCAGTACCGTTCCTGCTATCGAAACCAGTGTTGCCATTGACCATATATAATCTAAACTGCGCTTGCGTCACCAAAACAATCTCATTGAGAAGAATTGGCGCATTTATATGAAATGCTTTTTTATAAAAAAAATGTTAAAAAAGTAATATAAAAACATTTTTACTGTTGCATTGATTGTTTTTTTAGTTTATTATAATACTTCAAATGAAAATGAAATTTTATAAAAAATTTTCAAATAATTTATTAAAAAATAAAATAAAAATACATTTTAATCAAAAAAACATAATGAAATATATACTAAAATTTTTTTTTTTAATAAAATTTTATTTACAAATGCCTATAATATTATATTTTTTCTGCAGTTTAATTAAAAAAAATAGTTCAATAATAATTGATATATTACGTAGAATTTTTTTTTTTTTTATTATTATTATGAAATATTGAATTGAATTTACCATATTAAAAAATGTAAAGTTATTTTTAATTTAAGTGATGTACATTTTAAATCAAAATATTATTGTAATAAGAGTCTAAAAAATGGCATTTATATTGCCTTTGAGTAAAATTAATAGATTGCAATATATGTGTATATATATATATATATATATATATATATATATATATATATATATGTGTGTTTTGTAATGCAAAAAAATAAATAAATTTTTATTCCTCGAGAGCTGAATATACTCATGATCACTACTGATTTACCGAATAATCATGTCATGAACAAATACCTTTGAATTTCTTAAGTTTGCCTTTTAATGAGAAAATTATCTATAATGTTTGGAATCTAAAGAACTCTCAATGGCTCATTTTGAATAATAATAATAATTTATATAAAATAAGAAGTAAGTATTTTTTCATAAAAACTGAAAAATCTTTATAAATTTTGTTTAATCAAATATTTAAATAACAAATACAAAGAAGATAATCAAATTAAAATAGAAAAAGAATAAAGTATAGAAAAAAAAATTGAAAATCTGTCAGTTTAAAAAAAAAAATTTTTTTTTAACAAACGGACAATTCAATACAGGAGCTTTTTTTAAAATTAGAATCAGGAAGCTAAATACGTAGAATGGACTTCTAATGAACTCATTATTGCAAGGAAGATGTTTGCTGACTTTCAGCAAAACATGGCAGCACCTTGCGTTAAAGAAATCTCAATTTTTAACGCTTACATTTCGCTAATTGCCGCCGCTTGCATGTGAACTCGCAATAAATATTCGTGATTACATACGTGAGATATGCAGAGGCGTTATGAAAATAAAGAAAAAAAAATAACTCGCTTCAAAGTTCCTTTAATTAGGTCGACGTGTCCTTCCTCTGAAACGAGGGGGAACTCAATCGCAAATATTCAACCTTTTCTAACCCCCTCCCTAAGAATATATATATATTTTAAATTAATAAAAAATTCATTTTTAAAATACCTATTTAAAAATTAATAAACATTCTCTTTTGAGTCAATCAGATTCAAATATTATTTATTTTGTGCAGTAAATAATTTTTATTAAATTTTTTTTCAAAATTATTTATGCCTACTACTAACAGAAATCATAATTATACTTTTTTTTTTACTAATTGAGTTACAATTGTTACCTTTTATAAAAATTAATGCTTTAGGGCTTTAATTTAATTACTCAACGAGTCACGGTTAGACTTTTATTTAGATAAACGTTGGCGATATACAAAAAAATATGTTTTAATGAAATTCATGACACTGATTGATTTGGCGAATATTATAAACCGTCTCGTCATAACAAAAAAAATATATATATAAAAATAATTATTCCAGATCCTCATTTCCGGTTAACAAGATAATAATATTTTTCTATGTTTCTTTCATGCTTCTTAATAATACACAATAATAATAATAATATATTTTCATGATCTGTGTGTTGATTGAAATCGCAAATCAAATTCCTTAGAAATTGTGTTGCTTCACGCAAATGTCACGTGAATTAAAAAAAATTGAAAATACATATACATAAAAGAGAGAGAGAGAGAAATCTTCGGAAAATATTATCGCAAATTCTTATCCATTTTGCAGAATCGATTAAACAAAATCAATATCCATTTATTCCAGCTACATAATGATAAAACTTATATACGCTAATACTATTGATACAGATTTTTATTCCAATCGTTTTTATTTGTACAGTGGCGACTGTCTATCGACAATGATAAATTCTTGATTCGTGATAAGAAAAGTTTCTCAAAAAAAAAGAAATAAAATAAAAATTGAAAAATTTTAATTCAATTTTGAAGGTGATATTATGTTTTCTCATCTGTGGAATTTATTTCCTGGTAGGGCAGTTTTGATAATAATAACAAACAGTATTATATATAGATTTAATTATATGAGCTGCAATTAATTAAAATTTAAATGTTTCTTTTTTATATAATTTATACTTTTCTAGAAATGAATTTAAAAAACCCGATTTCTTTGTCAGGTTATATTATTGGAACATTTTGGTTTTTGGAATTTATTGAAACTTTTTTGCTCTGGAATTTCTTTTTTTTTTGAACTTTTGTCCTCCAATCATGTAGATGATATTTTCACCTGCATACCTAATGAAAAAATTTATTACCTATTACATAACTGTCGTGATTTATATTTATTTGTCATAATTCTCGATTACCTACCGCACTCTGCTCTAGTAAAAATTTAATAATATTCTAGTTAAAATTAAAAGTTAATGTAAAGTCACTAAATTTTAACTAGAGCAGGATGCGGTAGGTGACCGAGAATTATATGACAAATGGCCAGTGGGAACACTAATAATACGCACTTAACTAACCCATCCTTGGTGAGATAGTACCTTTAATACTAGAACAACCTAACTGTTTTTAAAAACCTTAATGTTCATACTCTGGCCGTTTTCGAATTAAGCATACTTGCATGCATTTCGCATATACTTTTGAAGTATACACTTAACCACACCGTCACCGCTACTCAAAATTGCTGGAATTGTGAAGCTGCTATTTTATAAATTTAAATGGTTGCTTTATGACCTCAGCAGTACTTGACAACATTGGGACAATTTTTGTGTGACACGAGTATTTTCGATGAAAAGTAAAC